AAATTTGTTGTACTCTCTCCGGTTCTGTAATAGATATGACGATTTATGCTAATCAAATTCTATCGATACGCGGTGCGTAATTATTGAGCTCTCTAATATCCTCCTCTTTCATAAAAGACAATAACTCCTGAGCGAGTGCACGAGTCCTAAAAACAGTAATTTTATTCTGTTGTAGGATTATTGGAAAGAAACTGTTTGCTTGTCTTGATCCGTTTCATGAGCCACCAAAAAGGTTGTGTATTTTACATCAACAATATTGGAGATATTAAAATTCTCGATCTTATGTAAGATATATATAGAAAAATTCGTCAGCCTCTCGAATTTCAAGTGCATTAAATTTTAATACAGTCCTAAACTAATAAGCGATTCTAATATATTTGGTTGTATTGGTTATTTTAATAATAATGTGATAATTGGTATAGATTGAATAATTACTTGAAATTACTATGTCTGGATCTCCTTCTAGATTACACATACTGTAAGCGCTACATTAAAATAAAAATAACAACAACTCTCTCCAAATACGTCGAAGGATGTGGTGCACATAGTTTCTGTGATACCGCAAAAGTGTGGCGGATGTGCGACTTGTTAAAATATCACTCTTCAAATAGCAGCGTGTGTGGGAATACTCTTTTCATTACAACTGCTTAACTACAGTCGTGCTTGTGGACAATCCACGAAACCGAGGAAAATCTTTATGAGATTGCTTAACCCGACGGAACCATTTGCATTTCGTCCAGAATATGGAACTCTCTTGTCTCCTATAAGCGGGTCTCCTCTCTTCCTCTTTTGTGGTAAGGTTTTTTGTTTGAATTTCTGTGATTACCCAATCACCTGCACACACACTCCGTGCGCAATAGAAACCTGACCCCACCAATCAAATAAATATGACAATCTCAACATAATTATAAAATAAGATATTCTGGTCGAAATAAAGTAGTTAATCGTTGCTTTCTAAGCGTTATGTTTCATACCAATGGTATCACCAAGATCGAACTCAAATCCAGTGCAATTTCTCAAGCTAAACATAGGGTACTAAAACTGAGTGCAGGCGAAGCATTTCACCAAAGCACTGTTCCTAACCGTGGGATGCAAGACGAAAAATCGGGCGTGGGATCATGTATACTCAATAGATCGTTGTTTTTTTCTCCATACATGATTTAGTTACACCACATCGGTGTTCGCCCTCAAGAGAAGTGATGTGTTCATAGTGTCAAAGTACATAGTAAGATAGGTGTCGAAGAAAAAAACCTCATCTAAAACAATCGTTGATATTATTTTATGAACTGTGTTGCGTCGTTATCTGAGCTTGTCTTGAATCTCGACTCAACGGTGGCTCGGCGGAATATCGACTCCGCGTCTCTCTGATTTAGCGCAACGGGGGAGGTAAACACCCGAATCTCACCTAAGATGCGGCCCTCAGGACCGCTCGGGCTATAATGCAGATTGGCTCCAAACGCTATCTCAGTCGAGTTCTACCCTTGTTGAAATTACACACTCAGTTGAAATTTGCGGCGGAAATGTTAGTCCTGTGGGATGGTTTAGGTAGTTTGGAGTGCTCGTAACATAGCGCTAATACTAATGAGTAGTCAAAAGAATAAGTTTACCCATACTAAATAATTTAGGGTAGGCATCTGAACTCAAAAAAATCTCATATGTTTATAAGGGTTATGATATATATTAATAGATATGATTTAATATTGCGCTAGATGTTTATTATTCTGGAATTGTTCTATATTTTGTGTAGTTTTCTAATGTGCTTTGTACCAGTCTCTGACACGGATTTAAGGCAATGGTATTGCTTCTGTACTGTGCTCTTTAGGGGCGGAGCTCCATAAGAGGCCAGATCGGATTTAAGCAAGTCACTTTGAGCGGTTTTTGAATATCTTAGTCTCTTAATAGAAGCCTTATGTCTCTAGCCCAATGCGCTCTTACTGGATCTTCGATTCTCACCTGTTATGATATATAGTTATGAGCCCGACCTCCGAGATGCCTCTAAGTGGAAGCGTGCTGTAGCAAGTGCGTTAGTTGTGATGATGTTTAATTTAAAGTGGATACCCCTTGACTGCCGAATATGATTGGTCTTTCTTTCGACATTGACGAGTGGTGAAGATCGAGTTCACCAGAAGGATTGTTGACTGCTCAGTTTAGAGTCAATGGGACTCTATATTATTAGAGATCTCTCTTTAAAATCGTAGCTCTCGAATTTAGGCAATAGTGCTCTCCAACTCGTTTATTTATTTATGAATTCATTATAGTGTGTGAATTATCGAGTACGGGTATATCAACACCAATTTATTATCACCAAATAATATAAATATATTATCTTTTGTCTTTTTAGATAATTGTGTTGTAAAAATGTGCGCAAATGACTGCTAAGTAGTCAAATCTCTAATATATTTGAGAAAGATACTTAGTGTACTCATAGATTCTCTCATACAAGATATAGCCTTCCTATTTAGTGTACAGAGACGCGTAGTGAAGTTCACACAAAATCCATTTTTTTTAAAATTACCCGTCCAGTGATATATGTTTGTGTGGACTGTCGTTGCATAGCGCCATTCTCAGATCGTTAGCTCATATCACGAGAGAACATCCTTACTGTGTTCAAAATTGGCCAATTACTAAGAGATAATATAATGGAAAAAAGAGATAGACATATGATATCGCAAACAAAATCGATTTCACCTCAGTGATCTCCAAGATGGGCCACCTTTTTCTTATAGTGCTAATAATATATTAGACAAGCAGTTTAGATTTGGATTTCACAGCGTAAAACACAAGCACATCGAGAATAAATATAGATGTCTCCTATATATGTAAAAAACGTGTTGCATTTGATCCGTGTCCATGACCAAAGTAGAGCGTGTTGCAATTGAACAATACCTTGGTATTTCGGTGGAAAATTGTGCTCGATGCTGATGTAAGTGTAAAGTGAAATGAGTATTTAGAGTGAAGTGTGCTCAAACATATGATCGCCTTTTGGGCTTCCATAATCGGTACGTAGACAGTGAAACAGAATTACAGGAGGTACCCATTGTGATAACATCAATTTAAGGGTTGCTCTAGAGAAAGATAAACAGTGTTATGTGATATCATTAGTATGTAGATGGTAGTATGAGATGCACTGAGAGAAAACTACGATACAAGCGTGTAATTGTGTAGTGAGAGAAGTGGTGAAGCCGCCGAGCAGGTACTAAGGTTAAATCTATTTGTTTAGCTCTTTTTTGTTATAATTTTTGTACGAGCTCTGCCTCAATCATATGACAGCAAACAATGAGTGTCTAGAATGTGCGTACCTACTCTATACGTCGTGAGAGAACTCTAACTCGTAAATACGTTGTTAGCCAAGGCGTACTACTATGGTAGTCTCCATCTTACTCTCACTACTAAACTCTGTCGTCAGTTTTTCAACTGTCTATACTATCTTGTTCCTCAATACTTAGCGGTATTACCAATTAGTATAAACGATGTGATAAACGTTATCAACAGATTTGTTTCATGCTGCTTTTATATAAATCTTAAAGCGTAGTTTTTATACATTTCGTGCACCCTTATAAATTACTTGTTTCATGTGTAGAGATGGGCTCAAATTCCCTTGTATTGTGCGCGTAATGCTTGACGTAGGCACAATATGAGAGAAAGACTGGTTCCACCTCACCTCTTAGTATATCAATTCTATTGCAATGACTCATTGAGAAGACAACTCACCATTCTATGACCCATACATTTTTTTGCAGGAATTGTTATAGAAGTGGTATACTCACAATGGTTTCATTAAATAAAATTTTTAGTTAGTCTTTTCATCATTGACAATATCTTGGTATTCTCTCAATACATTTCGTATAAATAAGAGTATACGATAATTGGCATGATGAATGCAATTCAACATCACAGACGGGCCCTCTTATCTTACTA